TACGACATATATATATATATATATATATATATGTCGTACCTAGTAGCCAGAACTCACTTCTGAGCCTACTATGCAAGGCCCGATTTGCCTAATAAGCCAAGTTTTCTTGAATTAATTGCTTTTCGACTACCTAACCTACCTAACCTAACCTAACCTAACTTTTTCGGCTACCTAACCTAACCTAACCTATAAAGATAGGTTAGGTTAGGTTAGGTAGGGTTGGTTAGGTTCGGTCATATATCTACGTTAATTTTAACTCCAATAAAAAAAATTGACCTCTTACATAATGAAATAGGTTGCTTTATCATTGCATAAGAAAAAAATTAGAGAAAATATATTAATTCATGAAAACTTGGCTTATTAGGCAAATTGGGCCTTGCATTGTAGGCTGAAAAGTGAGTTCTGGCTACTAGGTACGACATATATATATATATATATATATATATATATATATATATATATATATATATATATATATATATATATATATATATATATATATATATATATATATATATATATATATATATATATATATATATATATATATATATATATATATATATATATATATATATATATATATATATATATATATATATATATATATATATATATATATATATATATATTATATATATATATATATATATATATATATATATATATATATATATATATATATGTCGTACCTAGTAGCCAGAACGCACTTCTCAGCCTACTATGCAAGGCCCAATTTGCCTAATATGCCAAGTTTTCATGAATTAATTGTTTTTCGACTACCTAACCTACCTAACCTAACCTAACCTAACTTTTTCGGCTACCTAACCAAACCTAACCTATAAAGATAGGTTAGGTTAGGTTAGGTAGGGTTGGTTAGGTTCGGTCATATATCTTCGTTAATTTTAACTCCAATAAAAAAAATTGACCTCATTCATAATGAAATGGGTAGCTTTATCATTTCATAAGAAAAAAATTAGAAAAAATATATTAATTCAGGAAAACTTGGCTTATTAGGCAAATCGGGCCTTGCATAGTAGGCTGAGAAGTGCGTTCTGGCTACTAGGTACGACATATATATATATATATATATATGTCGTACTTAGTAGCCAGAACGCACTTCTCAGCCTACTATGCAAGGCCCAATTTGCCTAATAAGCCAGGTTTTCATGAATTAATTGTTTTTCGACTACCTAACCTAACCTAACTTTTTCGGCTACCTAACCTAACCTAACCTATAAAGATATGTTAGGTTAGGTTAGGTAGGGTTGGTTAGGTTCGGTCATATATCTACGTTAATTTTAACTCCAATAAAAAAAATTGACCTCATACATAATGAAATGGGTAGCTTTATCATTTCATAAGAAAAAAATTAGAGAAAATATATTAATTCATGAAAACTTGGCTTATTAGGCAAATCGGGCCTTGAATAGTAGGCTGAGAAGTGAGTTCTGGCTACTAGGTACGACATATATATATATATATATATATATATATCTAATTTCAATTCTTCCTCCGTGATCTGACACTGTCATATTTTTCATCACGTGCTAATTTTCGTGATTTACACACACACACACACAAACGAGCCCCTAGCACACCTCATCATGCTGTGAAGGAAAGACGCTTTTCGTCCTATTTCTGCAACAGAGGCCTGCGGTCTTTTGAATGAGAAACACACACACACAGACAAAGGTACAAAGACATGCTACTAAGTGGCTCCGAGAACTGAAGGGCAAGAGCTACGAGGAGAGGTTAGAGGCATTAAATATGCCAAAATTAGAAGACAGAAGAAAAAGAGGTGATATGATCACTACATACAAAATAGTAACAGGAATTGATAAAATCGATAGGGAAGATTTCCTGAGACCTGGAACTTCAAGAACAAGAGGTCATAGATTTAAACTAGCTAAACACAGATGCCGAAGAAATATAAGAAAATTCACTTTCGCAAACAGAGTGGTAGACGGTTGGAACAAGTTAGGTGAGAAGGTGGTGGAGGCCAAGACCGTCAGTAGTTTCAAAGCATTAAATGACAAAGAGTGCTGGGAAGACGGGACACCACGAGCGTTGCTCTCATCCTGTAACTACAGTAATTACACTTAGGTAATTACATATATTTATATATTATATACTAGCTGTACCAGTCCACACATTGCTGTGGCTCAGCAACGCATGCGCATTGCTGATCCACAGCAACCCTTCCCTGTCCCCCCATTCTCCCCACTATTCACCCCTCCCTGTCTTCTTGTCCTCCCATCAATTCCCTCCTCACCACAAATTCCCCCCCTCCCGCATCCCCTCGTCCTCCCCCACCTTCCCATCCCCTTGTCCTCCCCACCATTCCCCACTCCTCTGTGTCCTTGTCCTCCATACCATCTCCCACTCCCCCGTCCCCTCGTCCTCCCCACCATTCCTCACTCCCTCGTCCAGTGCATTCCTAAATGATCTGATGTTCCCATCAGAAAAATGGGAACATAAAATGATCTGATGTTGCCATCACTGAAAAATAAGAACAGTTAAAAAAAAATGAAAAATAAATGAAAAAAAATAAAACAATAAACTATACTCACAAAATGAACGATATGGTAAACAACACAGCTCAATTCCAACGCAGTGTCACACAAAATAATTAAATCAAAATGAAAATAAATTGAAATCTATGAAAATTAATTTTATCAATGCAATTGGAAACATTGAAATGGAATTGTAACATATATAGTATAGCATGTGTGTTGCTCTTACATGCAACAGATGAGATTGTTTTTCAAGAAAAGCATAGTTTTACCTGTCACAGGTGTGGCATCTATACTTATACTTACAAAATGAATGGTATGGTAAACAACACAGCTCAATTCCAACACAATGTCACACAAAATAATTCAATAAAAAAAAAATAAATAAAAATCCATGAAAATAAAATTTATCAATGCAATGGGAAACGTTGAAATGGAATTCGTGACATATTTAGTATTGCGTGCATATTTGCTATTATGTGCAACAGATGGCACTGTTTTTTTAAAACGCATGATTTTACTTGTCACAGGGGTGGCATCTATATAGTAGGTATGTAAAAATACGCACCTATTCAAATGCAACGTTGTGTCAAAATTTCAAAGCAATTGGTGAAGAACTTTCTGAGGTTACAGCGTGTGTTGCTCTTACGTCCAACAGATGGTGCTGTTTTTCCAAAAAAGCATGTTTTTTCCTGTCACAGGTAAGGTATGTATCTTGAGGTTATCTTGAGATGATTTCGGGGCTTTTAGTGTCCCCGCGGCCCGGTCCTCGACCAGGCCTCCACCCCCAGGAAGCAGCCCGTGACAGCTGACTAACACCCAGGTACCTATTTTACTGCTAGGTAACAGGGGCATAGGGTGAAAGAAACTCTGCCCATTGTTTCTCGCCGGCGCCCGGGATCGAACCCAGGACCACAGGATCACAAGTCCAGCGTGCTGTTCGCTCGGCCTACCGGCTCCCGTATATATGTATACAGTAGATATATAAAAAGATGCGCCTATTCGAATACAACGTTGTGTCAAAATTTCAAAGCCATCGGTAAAGAGGTTTCGAAGATATCCCTCACATGAAAAACACAAGGAAAACACAGTTTTTCAGAAAAAGCATGTTTTTTACTGTCACAGACATCTATATAGTATGAATATAAAAACCTGCTTGGATGTGAATGGAACATTGTGTGAAAAATTCTAACACAAATTTTCTCAATATTTCTTATGTTTCTTTTTACTGTTGATGATAATTAAAAAATCAATTCTCCAAAATTCATTTTAATTTCTAGTCTGATGCGACACTTGAACGCGTTTCGTAATAACTTGTTACATTTTCAAATACTTTAGTTTACATACACACACAACTATAACCTGCAAACACTAAACAGAGTTTTACTATGCTAATATTTAAACAGCTTTTGTCTTATATACTCGCATTTGGGTGAGGTGATATGTTACAACAGTTTTGGATGAGGTGAACAAACTTTCAACACAAGACATACCTAACCGAACCTAACCTATAAAGATAGGTTAGGTTAGCTTAGGTAGAGTTGGTTAGGTTCGGTCATATATCTACGTTAATTTTAACTCCAATAAAAAAAAATTGCCCTCATACATAATGAAATGGGTAGCTTTATCATTTCATAAGAAAAAAATTAGAGAAAATATATTTATTCAGGAAAACTTGGCTTATTAGGCAAATCAGGCCTTGCACAGTTGGCTGAGAAGTGCGTTCTGGCTACTAGGTACGACATATATATATATATACATATATATATATATATATATATATATATATATATATATATATATATATATATATATATATATATATATATATATATATATATATATATATATATATATGACAGTGTCAGACCACAAAGGAAGAATTGAAACAGGAATTTCCTTCAGTACTTTCGTATATTAGTACATCTTCCTTCTGAAGATGTATTAATATACAAATGTACTTTATATATATATATATATATATATATATATATATATATATATATATATATATATATATATATATATATATATATATATATATATATATATATATATAATCATTTAAATTCTTGCAATTACATTTTACTCTTATACTCTTACTTTGATATATTATGAATTTTATGTCTAAGCATTGATTTAGTCTAGTCAAGTTAAAAAGGGCAATATGCTTCTCAGCTAATAATAATTTTATAATGCATTGATTAGTATGATTTTTTATTACAGTTCATTTAGATGTTATAATGAATTTATAACTAAAGTCCCCATCAACCCCAGTAAAAAAGCATTTATAAAAATCTTTAAGAGTTACTTGAATTGGTGTTAGTGTGGTCCCTCCAACCTTTGTCCTGTGTCTTGGCTTAAAGTTTATAATTGTACCCCACGGTACATCTTGAGCCCCATGTTGTCTTCCTCTATCCGTGAATGTGGTGCTGTGTGGTGACCATGGTGGTGGTGCTGGTGAACATGCTGACGGATCCTTAGCTTCAGGTAACCCACACCACTAACACCTTTCTCACTTTTGCTTTCCCTCAAAGGAGCTTTTTTTTATGTATGGTATATAGTTTTGTGATGTTATTCATTATGCCTGTCTTTAACTTTATTTATGCATATATATGTTGATGAACTGACTTTCTATAATGTAAGCAGAGATTCTGAAAGCAAAATAACAGGTGGTCATTAAGGAACAATTATATACATCGTAAACAAACAAGGGATGTGGCAAACCCACCCTTCACTAGCTTGTGATGCAATTAGCCCCACATTTCCTGTGACATAGGTGTGGGGGCTGGGGACCCATCTTCATTCATTTTTAACAACTAAAGTTAATAGGGGTATTGAATGTAATGAAACAACTTTCTAAGCTGTTCCATGGATGCTTCCTGAGCCAGGTGCTGATTGGCCCATTAGGAAAATGTAACTATCCTTGGCTGTAATTACTTTCCCCTTCAACCTAATAAGAATCTTTGCAAATGGTCCTATCTGGAGTAAATATGAGTAACAGAAACAATGACAAGTTTAACTCAAGTCATCACCAAGGCACCAGCCTGCCATGATACATCAGGGAGCAATACCCATAACACTCTGAAAAATATGAAATTTAGGGATATATAGTGCTGTTAGATGCAAATAGCCAAAACTGAGAAATCCACACTCTGAAACATAGTCAGTGAGGGACATAGGGCTTGGGTTTGCTACTGTGTACTACATCTGATCATCTGTTTCTGCACCCCAATATTGTGTTAACACAGATTGTTTCACTATCCAAGGCTTTGCTTTGGCTTCTGGCTTGCCTTCTCTTGTCCCATTTTATTAGTTGTCAGAGTTAGGCTAGAGTGTGCCTAGGGGAGTCTGCATATTGACTATGAGATACCTCAGTCACATTGGGGGCAGCAGCTCTGGTGACCTGTTCGAAATTAATGGCCCTCAAGGAAATTTATTTTATTAAGTGAGAATTCTTACATTAGCAGACCTTATAGTATTTTAGAGCTCAATTAAGAACAAACATGTTTTGTTTATGACTAAAAGTATATATTAGCACCACATAACTTTCTTTCATTGCACAGGCAGTCCCCAGTTTACAAATTGGATGCATTCCAAAGAGGCATATGTAGCTCTGAATTAGATTTTTGGTAGGTGCAATGCTATAAAGGAGGAAAGCATTAACCCCTTAAACTGTGCAAAACATCATATGATGTGTGACATTGAAGAGGGTATAATTAAAAAAATATTTGAATTATGTAAAAATTACTTAAAAATGTTAAACAAATCTCCAACTTATTGGCTTCAGCTTTGTGAATCTTTCATCAAAATATTTTCAGATATTGATTTTAGACGAACATTTAAAAAAAAAAAAAGTTTTGTTGATAAAGAGAACAGCTCCTATTAACTGGAACTGATGGATAATGCAATAATAAAGAGATATAATCACTTGCCCAATGCACAAAGAAGAAGAGTAGTAATAAGAAACTTCCACAAAGAGGATATACAGCTGGTGCCTTTCTAGCATTGGTGAGTAATACATAATAACACAAATCGTAATGAGTAATTATGTTATTATGCTCTATTTTGTTATATATCATATAAATGCATTGCCCAATGTTATTATCAGTTACTTTTATGAATGTCCAAAATATATTTTTCTGTGGGGAGCCCCGGAGGCTCCCTGGAGCTAATCGGGCTAATGTATGTTATATTAGACCGGGACATTAGCTAAGGAGTTCAGACCTACCAGGGATCAGTGCCAGAACCTGGCCCCTTCAGAGAGGTTTCAGGGAGCAATGGCCCTGGAAAACCCCTTGTGGTTGGGGTTTTCCTTATCTGCCATCGACCGGGGTTAGGCACCCAGAAAGGTAGGCATAACAAAACAAACCCCACATGGTAAAAACTAAAACAAAAACCGAACATAGAGGTAGAAACTCCCTACAATCACAAGGAAACAAGCAAACATCACACTTAACTGCCGCGCCGATCGTCCGCGCAGCCCTCCCCGCCCCGGGAGGGGGAGGAGGGAGCCCCGGACCTACCATGCCGGCTGCCAAGCTCCAGTTCGTTCGCTAATGTCAACCGGGATTGACGCTTCTCTGGCTTCAGTTTCCTAGGCGGTGTTTGCCTTGTGTGGCGTTCACTGCCGTGTGTTGTGTTGTGCGGTGGCCAGGAGTACCACATCAGTGCCGGGGCTGCATGTGCTTAGTGGCTGACTTCCCTAAGCGCCCTGTGAGTACTGCCCTTGCGTAACAGGGTTATCTTCCCTGGGGCGTTCGGGAACCATTCCCGTAGAGGTTCTTGCTGCTCGGCATTTGCCTCGCCCTTGGGACCAGCTGGGGCTTGGGGCCCTTGTTTGGTCCTGGGTAGGGATTGGTATTGTGCTGGTTAGGGCGATAAGGTGTTGCACAGCCTGCCACCTAAGCGGCGGCCGGTTTCTGTTGCCTCTGGAGATGGTGTACTTTTGCAAGGTTTTTCTTTTGTTTTTAATTTTTCATGCGGGTGGGGGTCTGCCTGAGGTGGTTATAGTTCCACTGGTAGTGTTTGGCGGCCCTCTGCTAGGCCCCCGTGATTATACACGTCTCATGGGTTTTCAGTGCTATAGTCTACCCTCTTGTTATGTTTGGGTTTCTTAACCGGTTAGCAACACCTTGCCCGGGCTTCCCGTAGTTGTTACCCTACGGGCCCTGGAAACCCCTGTCTGGGCTCGGGGGACCATTGAATGTGTGTTCCGGGTTCCAACCCGTCTTGTACGGGATCGTTGGTTCCTGTTCCCTTGTCTCCGGGTGACAGTCGCCATTTTTACCTCCGTCATGCTGCCTGTTGGGTCACTGACACCTTGGCCCGGAGTCTTGCGAGTGATTCTCTGCTTGTTCTCCAGTACTCTCCTGATGTTATTACTGTTCAGAGTACAGGCGGCATCCGTGTTGCAAGCTTGGTTAGGTTGCTGCAACATGCTAGGTTGGTTTCCCACTCGAATGCCCCGTGGCCGCCCCGTTTGGTTAGGTGCTGTTCGCCCCTTTCCCTCCATGTTCCCGGCTCCGGACCGTCTGCAGGTTTCGGGGTCGGGGTGGGGTTTAGTTGCGGCAGAGACTTGGGCGGTTTTTGGGGGCTGCCCCGTTCGGGTTGGGGACGGAGGTTTAAGCCTGTGCCTCCTGCCAAGGCTTCTGGGTCTTACCAGCGGCCCTTTCTTGTTGCCTTTCCCATGGACTCTTGCTTTTCTTTCAGGGCGGAGGGCTTGGAGGACGGCTCTGCCCCGGGGCCTCTGTTGTTGGTTCCCGGGGCTGTGGGGGATGCCTGCTAGCAGTTCTGGGGTGGTTTTGCCCCTGCCGGGGTTTTTCTGCTGTTGGGCGGCGTTTTTCGCCCATCCAGTCTGCTAGCTTCCCACATTTGCTGGCGTGTTTTTGTGTATTTAGCGTCAGTCACAGCCCCTGCTGGCGGCCATTTTCGTCTGTAGGTTTCACAGCGTGGCCACCAGGGCGGCGTTGCGGTTTTGTTTACATGCGTCTGGGTGTGCGAGCGAGTGTCTCGGGTGAGTTTTCTCATTTTTTTTCAGGGTTTTTGTTCTCCTGTTGTCGTTTCTTTGTTTTTCTGGTGTTTTCTTGCCGTTGCCTGTTTCTCTGGGAACGTTTGGGTGTTGATTTTACACCGTTTTTTTCCAATTTTTCTGTTTTGGGTCTGAGCCTTTAGGTTTAGGCTCAGTGCCCTGGCTGGTATGCTTGCTCCCACACCTTGTCCCTCGGTTTTCGGTCTGTTGGGACCGTTTTCCCAGGGGGTTCTGCTGGGGGCTGTGCTTTGCCTTTCAGTGGTGTTCTCCGCTGGCAAAATGTGGTGGTTTGGGCTCCCCCTGGTTCGATTCTGAGTTCCTTTGGGTTCCTTGGTTTCGTTCTGGAGGTTTCTTCCTCTTGGGCCTCCTTTTGTTGGTTCAGGGGACTTTGTTTCCTCGTGTGACCCGGTTCTGCCTTCTGAGGTTCCGGGGTCTTCCTGGCTTGCACACTGATCTTTTTGGGTCTTGGCACATGTTGTGGTTGTGCTGGGACATTGCGGTTTTGCTGTCGAGGTGGGCCTGTTGATGCAGTTTTGTGCCTTCTTTGCCTGGCCGGCGTGGTGCTCTCTGCCCACTAGCCGGCGACTTGTACTTTTACAATATATGTCCTCACCTAGTTGTGCTTGCGGGGGTTGAGCTCTGGCTCTTTGGTCCCGCCTCTCAACCGTCTATCAACAGGTAATTACCTAAGTGTAATTACCTAAGTGTAGTTACAGGATGAGAGCTACGCTCGTGGTGTCCCGTCTTCCCAGCACTCTTTGTCATATAACGCTTTGAAACTACTGACGGTCTTGGCCTCCACCACCTTCTCACTTAACTTGTTCCAACCGTCTACCACTCTATTTGCGAAGGTGAATTTTCTTATATTTCTTCGGCATCTGTGTTTAGCTAGTTTAAATCTATGACCTCTTGTTCTTGAAGTGCCAGGTCTCAGGAAATCTTCCCTGTCGATTTTATCAATTCCTGTTACTATTTTGTATGTAGTGATCATATCACCTCTTTTTCTTCTGTCTTCTAGTGTCTTCTAGGTGTATAGGTTCCTGTGCCTATTGGGCTCTATCATGTCTACATGTGACATTGTACGGGGGTCAGCCTCGTTACTTGTGTGTGGAGTTACCACATTACTTCCTAGTGCTTTCCCGTTACCATTCTGACACTAAAAAAAAAAAAAAAAAAAAAAAAAAAAACTTTCTACTATCTCTGTGGCTCTTTTGGGTACTCAGTTTCCACCTGTGTCCCCTAGTGTGTGTGCCCCTTGTGTTACATAGCCTGTCCTTATCAACCCTGTCGATTCCCTTGGGAATCTTGAATGTGGTGATCAGGTCCCCCCCTCACTCTTCGTCTTCCAGCGAAGTGTGGTTTAATTCCCGTAGTCTCTCATCATGACTTAGGTAGTGTACTTTTTCTTTCGGAAGGGGTTCTGTTCCCTTCTCTGTTGACTGGGCGCTGGGGGAGCAGC